ATGGATTTTCTCAAAATTATAATTAAATAATTTTTTCAGAATACAAATTAAACGATGTTTAAGTTGTTAATGACTCAATAATTTTATTTTAATTAATATTCTTACCTTGAACCTTTTGTCATATTTTTTCACAACTTCAACGAAAAATTTATGTTTAAGCTCGTCAGTCTTCGTTCCTTATGGTCGAAAAGAATATCAGCAGCTTTCTGCTGTGCCTGTCTCTTTCGGGCAAAATACTTCTTAAAAAATTAATATTACCTGTAATGAAAGATTGATATTACCTGTATACATACTGATATTATAGCTTCTTTAATTGACAAATTGCATAAACTATTATTTAAATGTTCCTGTATCCATATGGGTAATTTGCGCTTATCTATTTTTGAGAAAATTTCTGCAGTAATGTAAAGTGTAAAAAAAGTCATTATATTGCAAAACATAGAAATATTTGTATGAATACGTATGACAGATTGTTTTTCAAAGAAGATTACCTTATTCGCAAACACCATGATACCATAATCCATCCTCCCTCTGATCGCATGTTCTATTTACTGCGGCATGTCTTATGGTGTCTAAAATTAAAAAGTTGTTCTCTCAGATCTGACAAGATATTAGAGAAACATTTATACAATATATCGTTCAAATAAGCAGAAACGTTATATAAGCAGAATACTTACTCTAATATACAGAATAATTACAGAATGTTTACTTACATACATACTTACTTACACCTTGTATATTTTAATTCCATCATCTCGTTGACAGCTATCCTAATTGCTCCGCAAACAGTGGCTCCCATTCTGACAATTTTGCCGCGTTTTGAAAACCATAAAAAAAATTTTTTAGTGCCTGACTGTATATGAACATAAAATTTCATAAAATATATTAAATCTTATGTAAATGTATATTTTTTAGTTACAAACACATTAAATGTAGTATACTTGTGTAACTTAAAATTATATTAAATTTTATGTCAACAGTGTACGTTTCAGACTTTACTTAGCTTTTCTCAATCGTAAAAAATTAATTTATATATCTAATTATATCACATGGATCATTATAAACCGATATCAAAAATTAAAACAGAATCCGCATACAAAAAATTTTTCCGGGTAAGTCGTACAAATTCGATTTTTCCACAAGTTAATCTAGTTTGAATGATTCCGCTGTCAATAAACAATACAATGCATTCCTCGGTCTTTATAGAAATTGGATGTTGGATGTATATGATCAAAAAAATTTTTTAATTCTTGTGACTATATATAGGTTTCCCGTTAACGACCGAAAAATTTATTATATTAATGACAGCATTATCCAGATCGGATGCAACTTATTCGGAAAAATTTTTTATATACGAATTCTGTTGTAACCCTTGACATCGGTTTATAATTATCCATAGTTATAATTACGTATATATATTAATTCTTTATGACTGTGGAAAGGTAAGAAAAATCCGAAACGTATTATTTAACGTTATAGAATTTTTAATGTAATTATTAAACAAAATTTACTGTACATCTTACGCTGTTAAAAATATCATAAAATTAATGTGCTTTTAAGTTAATACATAAATTAAATTTAATTTTATAACAATAAATCTGCAACTAAAAGGTATATTTGTGTACATGTAATTTAGTTTACCTTTCATAAAATTTTATAAAGTTTAGTATATTTTTTATTAAATTTTATGTAGATTTACATGAAAATACTATTGAATAATACTATTGAATAGACATATAATATACTGTAATATAGAGATATACAAACAATAATTAAAATTCAAAAAGAATTGAAATTAGTCACAAAATAATTGTCAACAAAGTTATTAAGAAAGTTAATAATAACATTAAACAAAATAAAGTAACATAATACAAAGTAAAAATGCATATAATAAATAATAAAATTAACTTATTGATCAATGTAAAACAAAATATATAAATATATAATGTATAATAAAAAAATTGAAATATAAAGTATTTATCAGAACTGATCAAATTATATATATTTACAGAGTGAGTAAAAAGTCACAGACTTATGAAATATCTCAAAAACTAAGCATTTCCGAAAGAAATCCTTCAAAAGTTGTAGATTTTTAAATGATCTATTGATTTGGTCAGTCTGACCTTGGGTGGCGTTGTCAGATCAAAGTCACATCGATTTAAAAAAAAACACTTTATTTTTAATTCCAGATTCTAATAGTCGGTGTTAAGGGCTTTTTAAAACACTACAATAAAGTAATTTTTCATAAAATACTTTTTGAATTGTAAAGCTTGAAAACAGTAACGTCGGGATTAGCGTTACGCAAGATGTCCGACCAATGGCTAAAACCTCTTAAATATTGTTCAGGATCATGTTCTGGATAATATTAGTTAAGATCAATCATTGGAGATTGTATTTTTTATTTTTATTTTTATGTAAAAATGAATTTGTTTAACTTCGTCGGCTTTTACCCACACACCATGTAAATTGCAATAATAAGATTACAATATTGCAATAATACTCGTATTGCAACTTGCATTATTACGAAAATACTACTGAGATAATATATTGCGATATATTACAATGTAATATTGCAATAATTTTGTTGAGATATTACAATGTGATATATCATTCTGCAATATTACTATAATGTCATCCAAATATTGCAGTGTGATCACAATATTGCAATCCGTGCATATCATCTAAATATTGGAATATGATATATCGCATTCAAGTATTGCCTCAATATCGTTTAATCTCTTGAGTCTCAAACAAGAAAAGCGCTTGTGTGTCAAGAATGCTATCAATGATATAAACTTAGAAATATAAAGTAAGTCACTTTTCCAGTGGTTTTTTGTGGTGCTGAGGAATTTAAGATTAGAATTCCAAAATTAAAAATCCAAATTTTTTTAGAGTAATAGAACAGTCTGGTTATATTAAGTCAGCCAATTTGAATTTTGGAATTTTTACTTCAAATTAATATTTCAGCTCAAAAACATTAAAGTATGCATTATTAGTTTAATTGTTGCATTGTAAAAGTGATTTATTGGCGTTATGAAATATGCTGATTTTTCCATCATAAAGCACTTTTGGTCAATTTTATTTTGGCGGATTTTGCCGTCATTGACACTCAAGGGGTTAAATATTGCAGTACGATATATCGTAAAGATTACTGCAATATCGTTCAAATATTGCAATATTGTGATATATCGCATTGTAATATTACCGCAATATCATTCAATGATTGCAATATGATACACCGTAATATTACAGCAATATTGTTTAATTATTGCATTATTATTATTATTTCAGTTTATCACATTGCAATATTACTGTAACAGCGTTAAAATATTACAATGCATTTTATTGTAGTGCTATCTTTCTAAGATATAAATAAATGTTTTGATTTATTACTGAATAAATATTAAGTATTAAATATAAAAAATTAGAAATATAGATTGAATGTAACTTAAAATGGATAAAATAACAACAGTGTAACGACTCTTTCTATATAACAAAATAAACAAAGTAAACGGCGAAATAAGAGTCAACGCATAATACATTTAATTAAAGATATTAGTCAAAGATACATAAAGTAAAAAACGAAGCAGAACGGCATATATCAAATGTATAAAACAATTCAGAGAAAACATAACATTACAAGTTTCGGCTGTTGGATTGAGCTCTCCTCAGATGTTAAATAAAGTAAGTATAATAAAAAATAGTAAAAGACTACATATATATAAATAAATAGTTCAATGTTACAACAATTTTAAAGCGCGGAAATGTACAATTCGGTTGGATCTCGACTTGAAGCATAATATTATACATGCGATAGGGCAGTCAAAACGATGTCAAGATTCATAGTCAAGTGCTAGCAACACGCCTGAATAAGTAAATGAGAACTGCTGTATATGTATAAGCGAAACAGGTGTGAAAATGCATGACGCCGGTAGGATTGTAAATGCTGAAGTCGAACATGTCAGCGTCGCACGTGACACGACCGCTCGCTGAAACGAAAAGCAACGCACAGTGCTTTTTACACTTTATTTAACATCTGAGGAGGGCTCAATCCAGCAGCCGAAACTTGTAATGTTATCTTTTCTCTGTATTGTTTTATACATTGATATACGCCGTTTTGCTTCGTTTTTTACTTTATGTATCTTTGACTAATATCTTTAATTAAATGTATTATGCGTTGACTCTTATTTCGCCGTTTACTTTGTTTATTTTGTTAAAATGGATACAAATGAGCTGTATTCTGTCTTATATCTTATTTGTATCTATTACAGTTATATGTAATATTTATTTACAATTTTTTTATTCTTCCGATACTTAATATTTTTCTTCTGTTTTTATTTTTTTTTTATTATGCGCGAGGCCAAATAATACATCATTAAAATATGTACAGGATGTTTAAAAAATAACGATAAGTCTTTTACACAGAATATACTAGTATTTATTTATTTGCCTTCACATAAGTGATTACAAAAAACTTCCAAAATTTTACACTTTTTTAAATTCTTAATTCCTATTTCATTCCTCTCCTTATCTTCTGTCCTCTCTTTCGTTTTGCCTTTTCTTCGCATTTTGTATTTCTCTCTCTCTCTCTCATTCTCACACATACATACATACATACATACACACATATATATATACATACGTACAATATATATTACGCCACACCCACACCCTTGCACACACGCACATATACTTGCCCAGACCCTCTCATCCACACCCTCCCACCCACACCCATACACTCCCATAGTCTCCCAGCTGACCATTTTCATTTATTTTCTCTTTCTCTCCCTATCTTTCTATCTTTCTCCTCCCTTAAACGTTCTATTTTCCTCATCCATTCATACCCCCGTCCATCCTCGTTTAGTACCTCTAAATTTCTTCCGCCTTTTTCATTTACGTACTCACAGTTTTTCTTCAGATGCTCAATGTCTTCTCTTTCCATATCACACAATCTGCATTTCCTATCCTCTTCTTTCATCCAATACTTATTTCCTCTCTCTTCATTCCCACATCTCCATCTTGCTATTTGTACCATCTTCTTCCCTTTTTTCCTTCCACACCTTCGGATGTACTCTGGTATACCATTGACTCTTTCATAGTTCTTACACGTTCTTGATTTTTTTTACCTTTTCCCCTCTCTCTTGCTCATCCACCTCGATATCCCTCTCTCTTACCCTGTCCCATTTGTTCTCCCAATATTCATTTAGACTTATCTCACTGACGCCTCCTCTCCATAAATAATCCCTTCTCTCTACACTCTCTCTTGTCCAATCTATCCACTCGCTTTTCCTTTCCTCCTTTCTCCTCTCCATCATACACAATTTCCCAATCTCTCCTCCTTCTCCTTTCTCTATCCTTTCTTCCCATCTCCCTGCCCGCCAGCCTGTCTCCACTCTAAGTTTATTTCTTTTTAATTCCTCCCTAACGATATAACCTGGTGTTGTCCTTTCCAGTCCTAATACCCATTTCAAGTACTTATCCTGTACGGCTTCAATTTCTTTCCACTCTTTATAACCCCATATTTCCACCCCATAGTATAAAATCCCTTTAACTACGCTGTCAAACAGCTTTAGCCTCCATCTCACATCCCCCTTAAATTTCCTCTCTCCGTAACTCCAAATCCAACCCATTGCCACTCTTGCCTTTCTTATCCTCTCCCTAATGTGCTCCTTATCTTCCCCATTCCTTGTCATCATGTATCCCAGGTACTTATATTTTTTAACTTCTTCTAATCTGTCCTTTCCCCACCACCAAAATCTCTCTTTTTCCCTTCCTCCTTTATTCTTAAACACCATGACCTTTGATTTTTCAGTGCTTATTTCTAATTTTTTCTCTTCCAGGTATTTTTTGAATCTTCTAATCATATCTCTTAGACCGTCCTCCCCATCTGCTACCAACATGATATCGTCCGCATATTCGATCGACCAAACTCTATCATTTCCTATTTTAACTCCTCCCCTTCCTTTCTTCAATTCTTCCTCTATGTCCGCCAAATATATATTAAATAAGGTCGGGCTCAAGGGGCACCCTTGTCTCACACCTTTCTCTACCCAAAATTCTTTCGATACTTCCTCTCCTATTTTTACTACACACCGCGTCTCCTCGTATATTTCTTCTACTCTCTGTATCAGGTCTTCATTTATCTTCCGTTTTCTCATCATTTCCCACAAAATTTTCCTATCTAACCTATCAAAGGCCGCCTTTAGGTCCACAAACAAAGCGTATACTCTTTCTTTCTTCTTCATCCCTTTTCCTATCACATGCTTCAATATTTTTATATTCTCCACTGTTCCTCTTCCCTTTCTAAACCCCGCTTGTGATCTACTCCATCCACCTTTTTCATCCAAATCTTTCACCAACCTCTTATTCAATATATTTGCATACATTTTATATCCGGTACTTGTAAGTGTCACTCCTCTATGGTTTGCTGTTTCCTTCCTGTCTCCTCTCTTCCAGATTGGTACCACCACCCCCACTCTCCATTTCTCAGGAAAGCCGTCCCCCTCCCACACTCTTTTTATTACTCTACCCACCTTAATACTAATCTTCTCTCCACCTTCTTTCCATGCCTCGTTTCTAATTCCATCTAATCCTGCTGCCTTTCCCTTTTTTAACCTCTTTATCTCCATATTTACCTCTTCTTGATTTATCCCCTCTTCTCCCTTTTTACTCCTCTTCTTTCTCTGTGTAATTTCCTTCTTTTCCTCTACTCCTCCCAATGCCTCTTTAAAATGTTTTTCCCATTCCCGCATTTCAATTTCTTTACACACTCCCTCCTTCTTTTTCCTACCTCTGTTTATAAAATTCCATGCCTCTGCTTCTGTCTTTATATTTTCTATCTCTTTTTCTTCTCTTTTCTTATATTCCTCTTCTTTTTTCTCATACAGACTTCTATACTCTCTTCTACACCTCACATATTCTTGGTATCCCTCTTCCCTTTCTTTTCTGTATTTTCTTCTCGCTCTATTCAGCTCTCTCTTTTTCTCCTTACATTCTTTATATATATATCCCACCAAGGGCACCACCCTATTCTTCTCCTCTTCCCTTTTCTCCTGACTTTCACCGCCTTCGTTATTTCTCTTTCTATCTCTTCCCACTCCTCATTTACCTCTTTGTCTTCCTCTTTCCATTCCACTTCTTCCATCCTCTTCCTGTACTCTCTTACTCCCTCTTCCGACCAATCTTGCACTCTTCCCTCTTCTTCCCCTTTCTCTTCTTGCCTTGCATACTGGTTCTTGATTTCAAATATCAGCGGCTGATGGTCTGATTCCACCCTGCATCCTACTTCAAACTTGGCCACTCTTTGCCATCCCTCCCAATTCACTATTCCATAGTCAATTACTGACTTCTTACCCGCCTTTTCGTATGTCCATTCTCCCTCCTCATCCCCATATTTCCCCCCATTTAGCAATATCCACCCTCTTTCTTCTATTAAATCTATCAAGTCTCTCCCTTGCTTGTTTATAATTTCGTCCTTTGACTCCCTCTCTTCATCTTCTCCTTCTTCCTTATTCTCCCACCCTCCGTTTTTTCCTACTCTTGCATTGAAATCCCCGGCCAACACCAAAATCTCTTCTTCCCCCTCTTTAATCCATTCCTTTAAATTGTCCAACACTTTTTTATTTCCATCTCTATTATATACTGTTACTACTCTCCATTTTTCTCCATCCGTCTTCATAGCCCTTTCTTGAAACCCCTCTTTCTCTTCATACCCAATGTCTATCTCCTCCAACTCCACTCTCATTCCAGTAATAATTCCCCCTTTCGCTCTCCCTTTCCTACATTCTTTACTTGCCGGTTGACATCTCCACTTCCACCCCTCTGGCATCTTCTCCTTTAATTTCTCCCACTCCCTTCCATCTACCCATGTTTCTGTCAGACCAATTATATCAAAATCTTTTAGAAATTCCCAGAAATCCTCTTCTTTTCTTTTTAACCCTGCCACATTCCATGTTACCCCGCTCACTATTTTTTCTTTCATATTCCTCCCTTTCTTTCTATCTTCTGTTTTACATGTTTTGCTGATACTATTTTCGTTCACTGTGAAGGCTCTATTTAAAAAATCTTTTCATTCATACATTTTCTCTCCTCATTCCATACATATTCTCTACCATTCATCCATGCTCTTCCGATCCCTACTTTCACACTCATACCTTTTTCTCTCTCACTTTTTGCCCATACTCTCATTGCACTCTGTCTTTCTCTTTCATTCTTTGTCAAATCATCATCTACATATATTGTTGTTCCTTTCAATTTATTCTTTTTTTCCATTATCATTCGTTTCTCATCCATACTATATAATTTCACTAAAATTAAACTATCATCCTCCCTACTTCTGAGTTTAAATACATCTTTTACTTTAATTCCCCTATCTTTTACCCCTATTTTCTCAAAAACCTTCGTCACCGCATCCATAACCCTTCCCCCTTCTACTTTTTCCCCCCTCACTACTATATTTAATCTCCTTTCTCTTCTCTCTTGCTCCTGCGTTCTCCTCTCCGAGTCTTGAATGATCTTTCGCATTTTCTCTAATTCGCTTTCCAAAATTTTCCGAGCAATTCTTTCTTCTTCTCTAAATTTTTCTATTTCTTTTTTCATCTCATTCTTTACCTCTCTTCTCACTTCTTCCATTAGTTCTGTTTTGATTTGTTTTACAATCTCTTCCCTTTGTCTTGCCAGCAACAACGTCATCTCTTTTACCGTATCCTCCCTCTGCTTATTCATCATTTTCTCGATCTTTTCCATGTTTATGCCGTCGCCCATACCGTCTTGGCTCGGCTCACCTTCTTTCGCTCGTTTCACACTTTGCGTTATTCCCTTGTCGTCTTCCTCCCCGCTGCCGGAGTCGTTCGTTCTTCCCCTCTTCGACAACAGCGATACAATGCTGTTCGCGCTGTCCCTTCTACTTTTCCCGAGACTCTCTGCCTTCGTTGGTCTTCCCCTTGGTTTCTTCCTCTCCGTCACTTTCTCTTGCTTCGCTTCCTCTCTGTCTCCCTCTTCCGAACCTAGCCCCCACTTGTCTCCTCCTTCAACCCACCTCTTCCCTCTACAACTATCTACTTCTACCGGTGCTATAAATGTCTCTTCTTTCTCTACTTTATCCTTCTTCCTCTCACTCATTCCCTCTTCCCGTCCGCGCTCACGCACCACCCTTTCCAATCATTGTCTTTGTCGCTGTTTTTACTTCTTTCTCGTTCTGTCGCGCGCTCTCTCTTTCTCTCTCTCTCTCTCTCTCTCTCTCTCTCTCTTTCTCTCTCTCTCTCTCTCTCTCACTGCTCTCTCCTACCCGGCAACACACGTTTAAATGCACAGCACCGAACGATTCTCACTTCCTCTCGCACTTGCGCAGAAGACCACGTTTCTCGCACGTGCTCGCTATCGCCGTCTCTTGTTCCGAACAACGATGAAAATTCTCGGGATGACAGCCGGTGTTCGTTGCATGAAAGCCCAAGATATTCGAAGATTAGCGAGCAGAGCAGTTCCACAGAGATTTTCTTCGTATTCCCCTCCCCCTCCCCGAACAGTCAGCCCTACTACCTTTCGGCCGTCGAATGGCACCTACCGCTCGTTGGATTGAGGTTAGATCACTTACTTCCCTTTTATACTCTTCTCAGCTCGCATCAGATTTATTTGCGAGCTGCTTTTTTGCCCAGCTCTCGATTTTAGAGACTCGCGTCTTCTGTAAAAAACCCCGAAGGAAGATCCTCTACAGTATCCTCTCAAAAAAATCGCTCAAAACGTCCGCGCTTATATAAACACGTGTTTTCCACTCACCTGCGCGTGCGCCATTCCACAGAATATACTAAACTGAGAAGAAATGTTCTCGGCCTTTTTGCAATTTTTGCAATAATTAACAAAATATTAATTGCTAACAATTGCCAAAAATTGATCTTCAATCATTTTTTATTCAAATGCTATCAACTTTATAGAAAAATTGCAAGAGATAAAAATTCTTTATTTTCTTCTCATAAAGTTCTAAGAATTTTTTAGAAATTTATTCAGATTATTTTAATATTGATTATTTTTTCATGTTGATAAAAATAAGAAAATGCAGTAGAAAACATTTGGAAAAAATTCTTGGAGCTTTATAAAAAAAAATAAACAATTTTTGTCTTTTGCGGTTTTTTTGTAAAGTTGATTGTATTTGAGTACAAAATCATTGAAGAACAATTTTCAGTAATTAATATCTTGTTAACTATTGCGAAAATGATAAAATTGTTACTTTCGGAATACCCCGTACATAAGTCAGTGTTCCATTCGCTGTTCAGAATACAATATAATAGTAACAAAGGTTAAGAAAAACTAAGTAAAACTAAATTTATTATGAATTTTTATTTTAAATAATAGTCTTTAGGATATAAGGATTTAAATATGACTATCCCGATAAAATATTAAAGGAATATTGCAACATTTTCATAATGCGTAATATTACAAAAATTGCTGTAATATTGAAATTTTTATATTTTATTGAATATATTGCAACTGTCTTAAAAAATATTTTGTAAAAAATATATAATTTACTGTTGCAGTGTTACAATTCAATAGATTATATATAGAGAAATATTGCATAGGTGAACAATAGTTCATTATTCACTACATCAAGATAATTTATTGTAGATCACCTAATCTCTTCCAATAAGGAAGATAATAATCTTCAAAACATCGTAAAATAATATAACAGAAAAAAGTTGTTTACAGAATCATAAAGCCAAATGTGCACACAGAACTATTGCACAGGATTGGATAATAACTAGTTAAAACGTTAACACAAAAAAAAACAGTTAAAAAGTTAATAACTTAACTTAGTTAATTTAAAATGCATTAATTTCTAACTTAATTTAGTTACTTTTAAACTTTAATTTATTAACTTTTTTCAAATTATAAATTGTCGTATCTCTCTTGATGCTAATATTTTTTTTCTATAAAGTCTTAAACATTAGAGAATTAATTTAGAAAAAGTTTAATGATTTTATGATAAGAGACTCTACAATAACAGTCACACCATACGGTAGCTAGTTTTTATTGATTCGCTAAGTTTTGTTAATATGAAATGAGTCTTACATGAAAAATTATTGTCGAACAGAGTTGCACATCCACTCATTTACTAAATTTTCACGTTTATCTTTGTAACAAATATCTAATCAATGTTGCTGTAAACATCCATGAGCAGTCGTTTTAGAAGTTAAAGAAAGTTAGATAGAGGTTAAAAAAAGAGAAATACGTAGGCTGCTGGAAAAGTTTCTGCACTCTAGTACTTTCAGTGGCACCAACGTTCTGCTATTATCATATCCGTAAAATTAGGCGCTTTTAACCTAATTTAATATTTCAATTGACAGTTTGTACCCAAGCCAACTAGTTTTGTTTGCATAGTATTTTAAAAGAAGTTATTTTGTAAGAAAATGGAAATTTCGCGTGAAAATTTTCGGGCAATGATTTTTTACGATTACAAATGTAATCTAACTCCGAAACAATGCATCGATCGACTTCATTTGGCTTTTGGGGAT